AAAAAAGAGAGAGAATCTTTTTAAATTTAAATTATTCATAGACTTGGATTAAAGAATAAATACTAATTAAAAATTAATTACGGATATTTCTAATTTGAATGAGAGTTCAAGAAGAATATCAATTAGGGTACACATGTTATTTTTTTATAGGACGTGGATATTTATCGTCCTCTCAGGTTTAGATCAGTTAGAAGATTTAAATTTGCTCCCTAGAGTTTTTTTGTTAGGTTAGTTAGGTTACTCTTTCTGATGTGAACAACCCATTATATAATATATATATAGAATGTTGTTCATGGCAGACTGGTTTTTTGGCCCATACAGAATGCGGTGACAAAGTGTGAGCTGGAAGGTGAGTCATCAACTCACTCTACAGGTGTGTCAGCTGGGACCCTGAGTGGAAGGTTACTCAGGCATCGGAGATGGTATATCTCCGTGATGTCCAGGAAGTAAGCTTGTGAGTTGTGGCAGAAGTCAACGTGGGGCATACTGAATGCATCGCATTGCTTTACCAGGTGTCCCGGTTAGAGATAGAGGGGAAGATCACTTCGATATGGGAGAAAACGTCTCCGCAATATCCAGTCCGAAGCCAATTGTGAGTGAAGTATGAGCATGCTAGTTTGGCTAAGTCACGAGAATGTATGCAAGAGCTGTGGTCTTGATGGGACGGCAGTCAATTTGATCGTTTATCCCCTCCCTTGCAGAGATGCGTCAGTCCTTTGAGTCCGTTCTTAAGTGGTTTGTGCGACTAGGTAGAGCATGTGGCACATGGCGTTTTTGTATTTGTAATTATGGTATACTACAAGTACAACTATACTCCTGGTCATCAAGAGATGGACGGTGTAAGTACAATCCACAATCTTTAACCTCCCATTCATTGTTGTTGAATGGTCAATTCAACATGTTCTTACGACCACAATGCCTTCTTCTACAAATTATCTGCAATTTTTTGGAGTGTACTTAGTCGTTCAATTTGCACCATCAACTACGCTCTTATTAAAGTATGCATTTATCTATTAAAAAACGTCCCTTGTATAAGGCTTGAATTGGCATAGCACGGGCCCACCGCTTAAGTACGCGCATTGAAACGTTTCAAAGGCAATTATTGTTCAATCATACAATAGCACAGCACACTCCACCATCTTTAACATAATGCGCCATCGATCTTTAGTATTGAAGACTTCCTGTTTTGTTCCAATCCAATTGGGCTTCAACTGATAGGGATTATTTCTTTTACAAATGCTTATTATACAATACGGGTCATGCACAGGTTGCATATAATTCTGTAAATTGGCCACTCTATGTTTTTTCTTTAAATTAGCTTTATATGCTGTAAAGCAATGCGATGATTGTGTGTGCATCCAATCGGATGTCGTGGAATTTTCTTTCATCCAGTCAGAAATAAAAAAGTAGTAATAACTCTTGGACTTTGAACAGTCGGAATGTATTTGTAAATACACTGAAAAAACCACTTCCAACTTGATGTATCCTCCACCTCCACGACTGCGAAAGCTATTGGAAATAGTCCACCGTTTGCATCTACACCGGTCGCAACCAAGAGCACTCCTTTGTATTTGCCATATAAATGTGTTCCATTGATGCTTAAGAGCGGACGACAAAAAGAGAACCCTTTGATCGCGGGCCCAAATGCCCAAAATACCCGGATGAACCTCTCCATTTCGGGTGCGATATCCTTAGAAACCATCTCATATTCGGTACCCGGATTTTTCCTCTTAATTGCTACAAGATAATGCGGAAGTAGTTGGCATGATTCCTCCTAATCTCTAAAGATTTTAGTCAACGCCTTCCTCCGTGCATCATATGCTTTATACTTGGATATAGTTATTTTTTCATATCATATACCCTTGTAATTATCTGTCCCGGAGTAAGATCAAGTTATCGTCTAACTTTGGGCATAATTAGCTTCATGATATAAGAGGAAGTTGTTATCTTATGATCATTATTGACAGATAGATTGCAATATGTATGAAGTCCGCAATAACTTGAGATTATAAATTGCCCATTAGATTTTTTCCTAACAGCCGCATTAAATTTTCATGGACACTTTGAATTTCTATCGTCTGCAGCACTTGTAATCTCTCCTTGACATTTCTCATTGAAGTAGCACTTTACATGGTAGCTAGTTGTACTGGTTTTAACCGGCTTGAATTTGATCCGGTTCTTGATTGCCTATTCACGTATAGCGAAAACTAAGCTTTCCTTATTCTCGAAAAGATCTCCTTTTTTGAAAGTGAAGTCATCGGGTCGATCGAAATTAGGACCAGGCTCAACAAACTCATCTTGTGAGGTATTTATCTACTCATCATTTTCAAACTCTTCTGGCAATGGTTCTTCAGACTTTATATAATTATGTTGTTTATGCAATATTCATCCATCCAACTTACGTCATTATTGGTCTCTCCAATTGCACACTGTATACTATCAAGACGTTCCTCCTCTTTAACAACTTCATTATCATCATCGACATCTACATCTACATCCTCTTCTATTATAGAACCAACCGGTAAATTAACTGAAACATGACTCGACGCGTTGTGGAACATGTCACTTGACATTTCACCCGAGTTATTATTTAAGTTCAAGGCGCTTTGAGATAACGAGATTTGATTTTCAAGCATGCGGGAGAACTCTCCATGAGCATATGAAACTTCGGCAACCCCATACAGTGGAATATTTTTAATGAACAACTTGATTGATATTTTACTTTGAGATAACGAGATTTGATTTTCAAGCATGCGGGAGAACTCTCCATGAGCATATGAAACTTCGGCAACCCCATACAGTGGAATATTTTTAATGAACAACTTGATTGATATTTTTTTTTTCGCAAGTCCGATCATGTCGTTTAATTCTTCATCATTGGTGATCTCTAGGCAATTGTTCTATTTTCATTTATTGGACAATTATAGAAGACTTTAATAGCATTTTCAACATGATTAATTCCAGTAACTCTGTATATTTGCTCCATCATTCTATCAAAATTGTAATTTCTGGATAACAAGAAAATTTTTCTAGAGACCCCATCATATATAGGCATATTATTTATTCCAACATGTAATTTTTCATTGAATAAGCAAATAATCGGTATTCCATTCGCCATTTTAACTGAAGAATTAAAATTCATCATATACAAATTTAGATTTTTTTCCATATTGATAATCATAATTAAAATATTTCCTCTAGATTTACAATATTAACTAAACAATATTGTTGGGAGATAAGGGGCATGAGTTGGTTTTATCAAATTCAATCTCTATATTAACTGATTTGAATTTTAATCATGGTTAGAGAATGATGACTTCTTCGGGTCTGAAGTTTAATATTCCATTATTCAACGGTAAGATAAATCTGATGGCAGATAAGGGGCATGAGTTGGTTGGTGTGCAAACTAGAGGAGGACAATATCATATTAGGTGGAGCTTGCAAGCGGGCATGACCGAGTGACACACAGGGAGATGGAGATTGTGACATTGGACTTGAAGACGATGAGCGCTCATATTCAATCCAAGGTAAGTGATGGAGGAGATAGAGACATCAAGCTCATAGTGTGGAGTAGGAGAGATGCACCAATGTGATTCGAGACGAGCGATGCAGTAGAGAACAATGACAACAAGTAGAGGGTGGCTATTGTCAGTCTCAAATTAGGAGGATAAGCATGATTGATTTGCTATTATTGTCAGAGTTGGCGAAGATCTCTTGGTGCACATAAGAGAGGTGGAGGCGCCACGGTGAAGTAGATGATAGTGAGGGTCACGAGACAACTAGTTGGTGTGCAGGTGTTCTGATTAGGAGTGTGGTTGGTTCGATTTGAAGTGCGAAAGAAATAGAAGACTCTAGCGGCAGAGGCAAAGTTTCAAGATGACGATAATACCTTCAAGAGAGTTTGAGAGTCAAATCCAAGGTGGAGATTGTTGGGATTGTGTCTTTGATTCTTTGTAGAACTTCATGAGACTTAGATAGGGTTAGAGATCTATTATCATTAGGAGTTTGAGTTCCATCACGATTAGAAGTTTGAATCGTATTCTAATTAGGAAGTTAGGCTAGAGATAGGGTTTTGATTTTCCTATATATATTCTTCTATTGTTGGAGGAAAAACTAAGAAGAAGAAGAAGAGAGTAGAGGGAAGATGTAGTGGTAGAGAGAGCCAATATTCTTGTAATCTAGGGTTAGCAGAGGGCGTAACCTGATTCAATAATATTATGCGAGAGGCGAGGGTTTCGTGATCTTTATCCGTGCAAAAGATTACAAGGAGTGGATTTTGGAGAGAATATGAAAGTTGATTATATATAAAAGGAT